CGTTGATTGCACCCAAACTTATTGTGAGCATCAATATAAGACACCCAGGAGGCTGGATTGGCTCAATTTTGTGCAAGTTGGTAACTGGTGGAGGCTTCGCATGGGTTGCAGCATTTTGTTCGATTTATACTCTGGTTGCAATCGCTGTGGAAAGGTATTACGCAGTAATTTACCCGCGCGGTAAAAGATGGACACTCACAAATCGCAAACTGAAGGTTTGTTCCAGAGATCCTTCACAAACTAGTAGCCTCGAAAACAGCAGCAACAACAACAACAACAACAATTTATCGATAAGGATAGCAGTAATGATAGCGGTGACGATGACGAATACGTTGATGATGACGATAGTAACAGACTTACTTAGATTAACTCTCATTTTCAGGTGATATTAACCTCCGCCTGGATTATCGCGGTTACGTGCAACATTCCAAATATCTCTTATATGACCGTCACCAACGGTTTATGCTATGAAATGTGGCCTGACGATTGGAAGATCAAGGCTTTTACTTTATTTGTTACCTCGAAAGTAACTATCGCCTTATTACTGATGGTGGTGCTGTACTCGAGAGTCGTTTTTGCCCTGTGGTTCAAACGAAGCAGCACTAATCCGGCGACATTTCAGCAAAAAGTAAGCGTTTACAAAATGATGCGTAACGATGTGATAAATCAATCTACGAGCGTGGAGCCGAGAAAGTTTGTCTTGCAAGTGGTTTTAAATCACGATTATGATTCCAGATCAGAATAGCTTGAAACGATGATGATTACCACTTTATTTCATCAACTTTGAAATGCCCCAAGTACAGGATCTTAATTGTTTTTTTGGGGACAACAGGTAGAAAATTACGACATAATGATAAAAATTGTCTTCCATTTTCTTGCAGTTTAATCGATTGAAGACTTGAAATCTATTCTCGATTGGTTTTTTTGTTTTAGGGTGGTTTATCTTAGTTTCGTCGGCTGGGAAAAAGGTGCGATTTAGGTCAGAAAGGGGTGCGATTCGAGAATAAATCACACGCAGAGAGCCGATCAGATCTCAAGGATTATCAATGATTTTAAGCGGATGAATAGATAAGGTAGTAAGATGACTAAGTTACGAAATGCAGAAGATCCAAAGCAGAGCTAAAAGCTTAATTGATTTCGAAAACTTTGGTACTTTTAGAACTAGGGTTTATCATCAACAAACGATGAAAACATTTGAAATATAAACGCACATTAGAAAACCCTTCCCGAATTTAGAAGCAATGACTTTCAGTAATTTAACCTTTTTTTTTTCTTTTGTCATCCCCTACTCAAACCACAGGGCATAATGAGAATCCGCAAGCGGGTGACTTTAATGGCTGTGGTTGTCAGTATCATATTTGGAATCTCTTGGGGCACTATTCAGTTCCTGTACACCTTGCACTTTTTCACATCATATCGAATGAATCATTTTGTGGTTGCCATCTCCAACATGACGGTATTGTTTAATTCTGCTGTCAACCCTTTCGTATATGCCCTGATGAACTACAACTTCAGACAGAAACTTAAGGAAATTCTTGGATGCCCCAAGGCTAAGATTGATGTGACGAGTGAGCTGCAGAACCTCGATGTTATCAACAAAAGCAATTAGCCAAACATCCGTGATTCCTCAAACAATATACCATATCTGTGAAGCAGGAGTATTATAATAAATTGCGCCTTTTTTGTGACTCTGCAGTCGACTGACGCCTTTAAAAGACGTAAATAGGTGAATTAAGAGAAGCCATTCTAACAGAGAGTTTAGCGAACACTTTTCAAATGTACTGTGACCAACTGTTTCCAAAAGTAGAATAACAGTTTTTCAAAAAAAGTCCAATAGTTTTCAAACGTAGACTTAAGATTTTCAGACGTAGACCACAGTCTTCCAACGTAACTCACAGTTTTCAAAAGTGGAAAAACCTGTATGTGTTGTAAAAACATAGGGCTATGATAAATTTGCAATAAAGTTTTTTATTGAAAGCGGAATGCAACATAAAACTGCCCTAATGGGGTTTGAAAAACGGGGGCTCACGAAATGATCCCGGATCCATGGCTTGCACATGAACAGAACGAGCCAACCACGGTTTTTAGCATCCATGGCATACATACTGTTATGAAATTTGTGGGGAGACGTTAATTCACTTTATTGAGAAAGACAAACTCAACAGAGCTGAATATTTTTTAGGGCACCCAAATAGTTCTAAGAGCAACTCGAGTGGGTGTCCCAGAACAAAGAATTTAAACAAAGGCAATACAGTGTTAAAAACAATTTAGGTAAAAAAAGTATTACTTCATACTAACTATTAAGAATAAAAGATATTTACTATTTAACACTATTATAAATATCAATCATAGGGTTCTTTATATTTTGACGAAATCTAAAAAAAGGAGTGATCTGTTTAACATTAATCGGTAATGAATTCCATAGTGTAGTACAAGTGTAACGAAGGGAGCGAATACCATATTGAGTTATTTGAACTGGGTTTACAAACAGGTTCACATACTGTAATTGACGTGTA